CACAAGATGAACATGAGCCACCAATGTGATGCCATAGCCAGCAAAGCAAACCAAACTTTGGGATGCATCCACCAATGCATCTCAGGCAAAACCAGGGACATCATCCTCCCACTCTACTCAGCCTTAGTGAGGCTGCAGCTAGAGTACTTATATACTTATAGGCACCCTATAAGTATATAAGGGTTGTGGACCAGGATCTGGAAGAACAGTTGTTTGCCAGGGCTTCCCAAGAGAGAGCTAGATCTAATGGCCACAAACTTCTGGAAGGCTGATTTAGACTGGACATAAGGAAAAGCTCCTTTACAGTCGTAAGTGTCCAGGGTGGTGGTGCAAGCACCTACTCTGGACTCATTCAAAAGGCATCTGGATGTTTATCTTGCTGGGATCATTTCACCCAAGCAGACTTCCTGCCTATGGCAGAGGTCTGGACTCGATGATCTCACACGGTCTCTTCCAGCCCCCTAATGTCTATGAAGAAAGTAATCTCACAGAAGCAAAATCTGCATAGAAGGTGACACACAATTATGGTGAGAAAAGCGAGTAGGAATACAGTAAACTTAGACTTCTGGGAGCTATAGTTAATGTTTGGTTTTGTTTATCTCTAAAATGCTGTTGCATTATTTTGCACATTAGGTTCATAAAGTACTAATTGCTTCCTGTTCCATGAAAATGAAACAATCTGGAAATGATTATTGGAACAGTGATCAAAAAAAAAAGCTGGGAATAAGGAAGATGCAACACTCGTTAAGGAAATAAAACAATTTTTTTTAGAGGAATTTGCATTAGGAATGTACTTAAAAAAAATCTAAAACTTACCATAGAAGTAAAATGCAAATTAGCAGTGTGTTTGCAAAAGGAAAAATTGTAATGAATCAGATATGATATGGCTCTGGCATAATATGCCTATCCTATGAGGATTTTGAAGCCTTCATTAAAATAATAGCTCATTTAACGATGTATGCAATGTGAATATGTATGTAACACCAGGAATTATTCTGGGCTATATATAAACAGCAGTATAGTAATAGGCATTGCAAACTTTGGGGAATACCCCAATTGATAAGTTACAGAAAAAAACAGCTCTTTTTTTGGCTAAAGGTTTTGAAATATTATGGAGTGGAGACTTACATAGCTATCTTACTGTGTTCACACAAGTTTGAATAAGGGGTTATTCAAACTGGGACAAGGAAAATATGTAAATTCTGCAAAGTATTAAAATAATGAAGCATAAACTGTTTAGTTCAAGGATTCCAACTTGCTCTTAGTATAATTATGATGAATAGACTAATAAGACTTCTGCGTTCAGAGGTAGTAGGGCTTGTAGGATTTTCTGAGCCCAACTTACAGTTCCAAGGACTTCATGCCAGAAAGAACTTTTGGTGCCTTTTTGGCATTTATGCAGCAGTACTTTTCCAGGCAGTTTGTATATATATTTCCCAGAAAAACCTTTTACTATTCCAGACCACAAGGGGGAGAAACTTGACTTCAGAATATTCCTTGTGAGAGGAAGGCAATAACGTAATAAGTTTTGACTTTTTTTTTTTCCCTAAGGTGACTTCTGGAAGGTTATCTACAACTGTTCTTCCCCAAACAAAGTATGGTCAAATGCCATAAGTAGCTAAGAAAAGGGAGGCACTTAGCACAACTGCTTTGTAAATGCTTGGCCTGTCTTCAAAAGATCAGCTTCTACACCCAAAACATCCCATCAAGTCACAGTTCATAGTGACTTCTTGACTGACAGAATCCTGATTCAACTTCGACATTGCTGTACTCCTATATAATTGTAGAATACACTATCATAAACTGTATAACATAGTGCAGTTAACACTAACTTGGTTAACTAGATTACTTATAGGATCATCGATCTTTGAATCTCCTGAATATGTTTTTAAACTCTGCAGTTTTCTAATGCTGTGTGTGTCTAGATCCTTGGCTTCTCCCCTAATTTATACTTGCCACCCTTTGTTAAGTTTATGGAAAGGATTATGTGACATGGTTGCCTGCAAGATCAGGGAACTGAACTCTTTCATCTTAATCTTGTTTTGCATGCTGCTTTTTTAGTTAGCCCAAAAGACTTCATATCATTTGATAGATACTATTTTTTTGCTCACCAGACTATACTTTATCTCATTTAATTAAGAATTTCTATGGGTTACGTACATGTTTGCATTCTTAATTTTTACATGTTTTCTTATGTTGGAGAACGTTGAATGAAACAGTTCCTATTTACTAGATTAGGGTTCTCCAACTGGCGGCCCATGCAATCCACAAGGGGTTAATTTGTAGTCTCCCAGGCTGCCACCTGGCCACTGCTCCTCCCCCTTGCTCCAGCTGCAGCACAGCTGGGGTCTCAGTGCTCCCTACCCTCATCCGCCTTACACTTCCTGCCCCCATTCTGGGGAGAGGGGCTCCACAGCATAGCCGGCCTTTCTGGGGGAGCCTACAGACTAGACCACCTACACAGCATGCTGCAGTGAGGGAGCCGGTGACCAAGGTACCTGCACCCACACAGTGCGGCAGGAAGGATGCCACATGTGCACAGGATGCTGGTGCCTATGCATGGAGTGCAGTAGAGTGGGGGAGCCTGCACAGCATGTGGCTCCCAGCTTCAGCCACTTAAACATCCTTGTACTGTTAAATGATTAACTTGCATTTGCACAGAGATATAAATTTGCATGGTGATATACATTTGGATAGTAAATAGACTCCAATTAAAATATATAAGTAGTATTTTAAATTTGTTATTAAATAAATCTGCCTTGAATGTGCTGGCTATATACAGGACAGTGTTTATCAAACTGTTCTGCATTTGAATCTGGTGTCTTAAAGGAGGTGGTGTGCGTGTGTACATGTGCATATATAGCTAGCAAAAGAAACTTCAGTACTTCAGAGCTAGGGGATATCATTCTCACACCTCACTTTTATTCAGTGATTGGAGTAGAAAAACAAACTTTTCTGCCTTTTCAACTCCCAGTCACTCAACGTTTGATGAGCTAGTTGTTGAACCAAAGTAGAACTTAATTTGCTTTTATTACGATTATTATCCATCCCAGAGTTTTCCTGATAATTCTCCCCTCAGAACTAGTAATCTTTGTTTAAAAGGGAAAAAATGAACTGTGATATCACATAGAAAGTTGGGCTGCAATAGGCTGCTAAAGTCTCACTGGATGATTTGGTCTGGCACAGTTTTTCAGTTAAACTTCTTGTTCTCCTCAGTCCTATTGTACAGTCTGTGCCCCTTAGTAGTTTCTAGTTTGTGATTATTAAGTGAATAGTTGGCTGAGTTGTGGTCACTCCTCAGAGGAGAGTAATCCACAGCCAAAAACTTGCTAAGCTATGCTTTGAATTTTTGTGATATGCAGCTGCTACCATCATAGAGAATCCAATTATGAAGGAAGATTAAAGGAGTTTGATTTATGTAGCTTAAAATGGAGAGGAAATATGATTACTGTTTAGAAGTGCACTCCTGGACTGAAATATTAGGGAGGGGAAAAGCTTTCTAGGCTGAAAACACTTGTATAAGTTCAAATGGTAACAGAAATTTAGATTGAAATCTCATTTCCAGTTGGAGGAAGGTTTTGGAGGTCTTCTGAGCCAGGTAGCGAGGGCAAAAAACCTGAATTGCTTTAAGATTGAATTGGATATATTTATGGAAGGAACAGTATGACAGGACAAGGATTCTGGCTCAGTAATCAGTATGTTTGTTATGTGGAATCATGTATTTGAAATCCCTGGGTTAAGGTAAAAAGCAGTAGTAGAGTGATATAGCTATGATGGTCCAAGAATTGTGTGAAAGGCAAGAATTTCTTAGGGTGAGATCTTTTATTGAACTGACTGCATAGTTGAGACAGAGTTAGACAAGCTTTTGAATGCAAGACATCCTTCATCAGGTCTGAGGAGTAAAAGGCAGCACAGCATAGTAAAAAATAATTGGACCTGGGAGGGGAAAAATGCCCAAAGGTAGCAGATAAACAATTAACAGAAAAAAATAAGCTGATTACTGGGTGATCAAGGCCTTTCAAAAGGAAAGAGGGTTGTTATCACCTTTCCTGTGTGGGAAGAAGAGTTCAGGAAGCAGGTAAGTCATCATAATGTGCCTCTGTAACAGAGAGCCTGGGGGGCTCCCCCTGCCTTCAAGATAAAAGCAGCCCAGCCAGGGTGCACTGCAGGCTAGGCAAGAGCAAGGGGGCAAATGAGACGATTAGTAGGCAGCAGCATGCAGCCTGCTGACTGGCATGGACAGGGCCCTGGGAGGATATAAGCCTGGGACTTGGGCTAGCAAGCCAGTCTAGCCCTGCCAGCCTCAGGGTTAGGAGCTCCTGCCCGGGAGAGCTACCCAGGGACACTAGACCCCCTGCCTTGCTGTGTGCAGGAACACTGAGACTTGGGGAGCTCACAAAGGGCATTTGTATACATGCTTACACCCGGCGCTGTGGGGCATACAGTTGTATAAGTGGCAAAATGCGCATCAGTGCTGAGGATGGAAGAGTGCTTTTGAAATAAAACAAATAGGTGTTTTATCCAAAAGCACACCACCACCATTTTCTGCAGCAGTGCATTCCTTATTCTAATTTTTTTTTATAAAAGTGCACTATAAATTATATAGCCAGCCATCTGCCTTCACTGCAGGGGAAAAACTAAACAACAAATTCCAGAACAAAGAAGTTCTCTCTGTTAGCAGCAGTTGCTATTTAAATATCAAACATTTCCTTTATAGATGTAGTTAGTTTGATCACTACTTCCCACGCTTAGTAAAGGAGGAGTGTTAAAAATATGACTGCAAAATAAAAAAATAATAATTATCAAGACCTAGGAATATCCTCTAGGTAATTTTTTTAATATTTTAACTTTAAAAAGGCTTTATTGAATTTCATAAGCATCAAGGCTTACTGTTTTTTTTAAATATTTCTGTATAAAGGAATTTGGCATAGAAAGTATTGAATGCATATAAGTTGTTATATGTATCTTAAAACTAATGTGGAGTTTTTAATTATTTTTAGGAATTGGTGAAACAGAAGATAAAGCGACAACTGACTAAACAACAGAAAGCTGCTCAGCGGCGGCGGTTGCAGAAAGGAGAGGCAAATATTTATACTAAACAGAGGCGAGAAAATATGCACAATATTAAATCAAGTTTGGATGCAGCTAGTTTTTGGGGCTAGATAATTGAAACTTGCTATAGAGGATCAGCATTTTTGTCCATGGTTTATGAATCGGAGAGAAACAGACTACACAGCAATAACTTTTTGTAAATTGGAATGTGCATATATTCAATAAATGTCCTTGCTATAGTAACCTTTTTTCTTTGTTTTTTGTATTGTAGTCAAAGCCTAACTTAAGTCAGTGGTAAAGGGGCACAGTGAATATAGGTATACTGAAGTAATAACCTGCAGTATTTTTTATAAGCGGATTTTACTGTAGTGATTAGACTGAGATTCTTGATAGAGCAAGAGTGCCAAAAATACAGGACATTGTGGCAATTAATGCTGTTGCCACTCATTCCAGTGTCAAATTTTGAGCCCTGTAAGCAGGATCTAGAGCACGGAGCCATATCATCTGACTAGCAGGGTCGCCCATGGTTCTGGAAATCTGGCAGTGGCAGGGAGCTCTGGCTCTAGGAGCCACAACACTTAACACTGCTGCAGTGGGCCAGATGATATGACCCTCTGCTACAGATTGGACCCAAGGACCCGCCAATGGGACTAGATGAGTTTGCCCCTGTAACAAAGGGCTCCTTTTCAAAACCTATTTTAACAGTTCCAAGAAACTGGGGGAAAAATCCCCACTCATATGCAGCTTTCCTTATTTGAATTTAGTTGAAGAATATCATGTACACCTGAAAACAGTCAGAACCAAGGTTATTTACACCTTCACAAAATCTTAGTCTGTGTACTCGTACAGAGACTAATCATCTTTATATTAATAGGAGAGCTTTGAACTCAGAGACTCTCATTTATTGTCCCTTTAGCTCCAAGGCTTGGTGCATAAATGCACCGAAAAATTAGAGGTAAAAATGATGTTGTGCAGGTCTGGCAGTCACTCAGCCTCTCAGTTTGTCAAAGTAGTCGCCAGTGAATGCAGATCTTGAGCATCTTTTCCAAGATCATCTGCAACAGACTATATATCTGTCTGTATTGCTGTAGTTTACAGATAATAATTTTCTCTTGTATTTTGAAAATCTAGAACAGGGCTTCCCAACTTCTTCCTCAGCATGACCCCTTTTAAACGTTGGAAATTTGTTGTGACCCCAAAATGATGCAGACAAGATCAACAAGTCATAAATGGCATTACAGTGTTTATGGTCTTTATATTTTTCATTTAAAACCTTTAACATTGTTTTAACTTCTTTCTAGATTTGAAAAACAACATTGAATAAAAAGTCTAAAAAGGCTATTAAATGCATTCATTTGACATTTATTTCAATTGCTTTAACTGTTGATTATATTTACTGTGCCACCATACTGTTAAACAACCTTAGATGTCACGGTTAAGTTGAGACTTTAAAATATATAATGCACAGAAATTATACAGGAAACTAGACTGCCATTATTTTTCACTGTTAATGTCGCTAACCTTGCTCAATACAACCATCTGTCTAAACTCCCACTAACAATAAAGCAATACAAACCAAAAGCAAAACAATGCAGCATACTTGATAACGTACTCCTTTAGCCAGAAAAACAGTAAGTGTCGTACTATATTCAACGATGTGCTAGAGAAAATAAATGTGTGTGTATGTATGTATATATATTTTTATTTAGATAGATACAGTTTATCAATGCAAATTATACCTTATTCCAACTATAATGTTAAACCACAAACAACACACATGGAAGAAGCCCTGAACATTTAATTGATATTATCTAGTGTAGGAGTTATCTAGCAGATAAACATAGTTATATGCAAATTCTCTTGCTCAGTGACATAAAAGCATTACTGTTACCTGAGCTAGTATGACAGCTGGGCCTGAGTGTCCCAGCACAACTTGTCAAAGTTTAGTTTTGTAGTAGAACAATGCAATAACTCACTTCAAATGAGGCCCTTGGTGCCTGCACTGACACAGACAAAGCAGTCTTGAATTTTAATTTCTGGCAAGACAATTCCTTTACATATTGCTTGAAAAACGACCTTGGCTTTCTTCATGTTCCTTGTGAATGCAGGTGGCATTTAAGTTTATTAGGTTTCATGCGCTCTGCAGACAAAACAACCTGGTGCAAAACACACTGCAGCCTTTCTTCCCCACTCACCTCAGTACTTGTAAATCCAAGCCCAGTGATGTATTCAGCACATTCCCGCTTTCGTGTCTTGCACTACTTTTGTTTCCTGTTCTCATCCTTGTCGTTAGTTTTACTGCTAGAGCTCAAAGCAGAAACTTTTTGGAAAAAGCATCCATGTTAGATTTTTCTGTCATAAAAAACATATTTCAGCCAGCCAGCATCAACATACTGATTTTACATCAGCTTCCTGTAATGTGTAGAAGTGCCTTGCATCACAGCTGCAACTGTTGTGTTTAGACAAATAACTGCCATGCACAAGATATTGCATATTTATAAACAGGAAGCATATTCATTATAATCGGTCAACACTGTCAAGTGTCTTTACAGCCCCATTTTTTTTATCATTGGGAACCACTGATCTAGAAAGAGAAAAATGTGTTCAGCTTACACTAAGAAGCTTAGGCCAGACAAAAAGATGGAGTTAAAGGTTTTTAAAAATCTAATATATTTTTGGTGGAAAACACATGAGATTTGTTAGTGTTGAAATGATATGGTAGCCATGATGGTCTAGGACAGTGTTTCTCAACCCATGGGTCATGACCCATAAGTGGGTCACAAGAATATTTCATAGGATCGCAAGCTGCGGCAGGGCAGAGGGCTGGCAGGAAGTGGGAAACGGGAAGGGTGTGGGGGAGAGCTGCGTGGCTCTGCTGGCAGCACCGAGACTGGTGCCTGTGCTCGTTGGGGTAGGGTGACTAGAAAATGCTTTGGGGGGGTAGGAGCAGCCATGATCAGGGTGCCTGGCCCCAGCCCAAAGGGGGGTGGCAGGTGTGCAACAGGCCTCTCCTGCTTCTCCCTCCAGCCTGTGCCAGGGCCAGGCTCATTCTGCTGCCACCCACATGAGCCAGAACCACTGCAGCCCACCGTGCTCTGCCCTAAGCAGGATGGGGGCAGCTGAGGGCCCCTGCGACAGGGCTGAGGGGGCTAGGGGTCAGGAGTGAGGAACACCAGCATGGCCTGGCAGGGGGCTGGGGGGCAGGCCCAGGAGTGTGTGGGTCAGGACAGGCCATGGATCTTTGCCAATGGGTTCGGATAGAAAAAAGGTTGAGAACCACTGGTCTAAGAAATGTACAAGAAGCAAGGATTTCTGTGGGTGATATATTTTATTGAATCAACTACATCATTGAGATACACTTATAAAAGCTTTCAAATGCAATGCATTCTTCAAGGTCATTCTTCTTCAGAACCTTGTTTCTGCAGAAGGATAAAGGGAAGTGGAAGCCAGTCCTAAAATTCAAAATTTGTCAAAATAAGAAATTAGAATAAATGGAAAAAGTGTTCCCATTTTCCTTTGACCTTCCATTCCATCTTCCTGGGCAAGATGGAAACATTATGAATGAATTTTTGTCTGTAACTATACAGCTATCTTAAACTATTTTACTTGCATAGTTTCCTTGCAGACTTAAACCCTAGACTGGTTTTATAGTCATCTTTGCTCCTTATGTGAACTAATTTTTGCCTCAAAGAAATTACTACCTCCTACTGACTACCTGCATTTCATAGTATGACCACTTTACTTTTGAAATCTTCTATACTATTTGGAATTACCCATTATTCCTTATTAAAAATGTAAAAGCTGCTCTCTACCAGCAGATGCATGTCTTTCTAAAAAAATGCAGTCTCAGCTTACTAAATAAGATATAAATGGCAAGTACACTTCAACATACATTCTGCAACAGTGTAGAATTAGACTTTTGACAAAAGTAAATGCATCTGATTAATTCCACATCAATTTTCGGGTCATTGACCTGATGAAGTTTATGTGTATGATATTGTTATGATCAATAATACTGGGATAGAATTAGGATTGTTCTTGAAACACCTTAATTGTACAGGTCCAAACTTAAAGCAAAAAGGAAAAAAAAAAAAACACTTGCAAAGCTTTTAAATTTTAGTTTATCTTTGAAATTACTAGAGTCTGTCACATTTAAGAAAAGTGACTGGTTTTGATATCCCCCAATAACAGCATTACAAGGACTAAAACAAAAACAATGAAGAAGAAAAGTGGTTTGATTTTGGATGAGCTGGTCTTGGTTTCAAGTTCAGATTTTTTCAGTAAGTGAGCAAGCTTTTCTTTTTTTCCTGGTGTGCAAACTTCAATAGTGAAATCTGTCAATGGATGTTAGTAATTAGTTGCAAAAATAAATATACAAAGGATGTTCAAATTGATTCAACTCCCCCTCTCAAAGAGAAGGACTGATGGAAATCCATTATGTTTATTTTTCAAATATTTCTTTGAAGCATCCATTAAGTCTTAGAGGTATTCTAATGAATGACCATAAAAGAATCATTTTCACTCATCCTGTCAGGGTACTTGAATTAAAACATTTCTCTTCTGAGACTGTAGTTAGCCAGGGAGGAACTGAACCTCAGAGTTATAGCTTAATATATCTTTATTAAACCTTTTTTTCATCAGCAAAATTCCTGAAATATCTGAAGTCATCAAGGTCATGATGAAGTTTACACAAGGACTGAACTTTGCAGTGCCCAGTTTATATTTCATATGTGGACATTCAAACAAAGTTTACTTTATTTAGGGTAAACTTTGGGAAACATGGAGGTTAAGTTAATATTGTTCATGATAGTCTTAACAAATTCATGTATTTACCATTTAGCGGGCGTCCCTTGATTTTATCATAATGGTTTAAATGCATCATTTTAAGAGCCCCACTTGAAGTAACTGTAGCAGTTTTACAGCTTTTGTAGGCAGTCAGGGATGCTAAAATCAATTCAGAGCAAACAAAAAGGCATCTCTTGTAAATAAATACCCATCTTTCAGGCACAGCGTATGTCAAAGACTTCTAAATTATAAGAAATAGAGATGTTTTATAACAGTTGCCAACAAGTCTGACTTACCACCAAAATTAATTCATATTGGGAAATCAGGAAATATGCACAGGGGTGTCAGGCAACACGGAGCTGGGAAGCCAAGCTCGCGGTGTTGGTCATGGTGGTGAGGCCGGGTGGTGGCAAATTGGATACGGACAGGTGGGAGTTTTGGCGATGCAGTCTGAGCGGCACGGGAAGCGTAATGGTTCCTTAAACAAAATGGAATTTATTTAACTTACGCTTAGATGCGTAGGAAACGATGTCTTCAGTTACAGTGAACAAACAGGTAAACAAACAAAGGGGTCTGTTGGCCCACAGGGTTCTCCAACAAGCCCTTGCTTTCTACCTCTGACGAGATAGGTGCGGCTGCCTGTTGGATAGTCCTAGGGCTGGTCAACAGCTCATAAATTGGTAACACACAACAAACTGTAACGATGTGACGCCAGTCCAGTAAGGACAACGAAGAGCCGAAATGGTGTCCGAAGCAGAAGTCAGGAGCCGGTGAAACGAAGCGAGGATACAGCCAGAGCCGGTGAGGAACGATCTGAATCGATGTTGATAGCCGATGCCAAAGGTAAGTCGAAGCCAGGAAATCCAAACAGCAAAGTAATAACAGCAAAGGACACGGAATGCCAATCGAGGGAGGAGATCAATAGGCCCAGAAGCCTGACTGAAAGACAGTCCCTGGAACACCAGCCTCTGTCTCCAGCTAACGCGATCTCTCTCTGATCTCCCCCTGATCTCCCCCCCTGAGGGAGGGGCTCACAGAACTTTTATCTGAATTTAGTGGCCAATCAGAACACTCAGAGGGAAGAAATTTCTAGTCAGATTACCTCATGCTTTAGCTGTTGCTGAGCATGCGTCTGTGGGGAAAGTAGGTCAGACATGACTGACAGGTCCGCAGGTCACCCAGGGGGCACGAGCTGGGTGAGCCTTGGAACTTTCCACTCACAGACTTCAACTGCGCATGTCAGGTACAGAACTTTTGTGTTGGCAGCATATACTTGGGATTTTTCTGAGACAAGGGGGTCAAACATTACAAAGGTAGTTATATTCTCTGTATTCTAAAGATTGGTTTTTATATGAGCCTTTCCTAGTCTTACTCTTATGTCTATACTGGGGAGGCTTTACCAGTTTAGAAATAACTGCAGACTGTATCACCAAAGTGTTCCTAGTGTGGACGTGGTTATATCAGCATAATGAAAGCAAGTGAAATCACCGATGCCAATAGAAGCTCTGTTTGGGGAATATAATTGCATCTAGAGTAGGGGCTTTTCATTAGTTCAGCTACATCTGTCAAAGTTAACACCTTTATTACTCCTGCCCAATGCCGGTAGACAATATGGGTGCGCGAAATGGGCTGTATTCAATTTGGATTCGGACCAAATTGGGAGACAGTGATTCGATTTGTTGATTCAGATCACTGTCCCGATTTGATTTGGCTGAATCTGAAGATTTGATGCCGATTCAGAGAATCAGTGATTCAGCCATAGACATAGCTTTAAATGTTTTTAAGCTACTTACCTCAAGGTACCAGGCACGGCTCACGAACGCTGAGATGGTAGGGCAAATGAAGCCCCCCATGCCCCCTCCGGCTCAGCGATCGAGGAGGCACCAGTCGCTGAGCTGGGGGGGCAGGAAGGGTCCCCCATGCAATCCATGGCAGACCCGGAAGTGGGGACCCGCCCAATCTCCCATGGGATGCTCCATCCACCCCAGCATCTCAGCATTCACGAGCCACCTGGTACCTTGCAGTATGTAAAAAAACATTTAAAGCCGTGTCTATGTCCGAATCATCAAATCTCTCCGCATTGATTCAGAGGGATCCAATTCGATTTAGAGAGATTGAAAGGTCTTCTGATTTGATCTGGATTCAGAGATTCAGCTGCTGAATCGAGCCAAATCTCCACTGAATCGAAGACCAAAGCTTCGCACAGCCCTAGTAGACAATACCGTGTTAAGTCACTAGCATAGTTACAGCCACTTCTAGACATCTGAATAAACATTATTTGGTTTTTCTTTTTTTTCTTGCATTTTAATCGACCAAACCTAGGACTTGGCATCAAAATATGATTTTTTTTTTCCTAGTTTTGAGAGAGATCTTGGATCCTCATCTATACATCATCTCTTCCCATGTATACATCAGACTTCAAAGATTTGTTTCACTCTGTTTCCGAAAAGATTGACGTAGAGTAGCAGTTCATCATTATCCTGTGAGGTAAATTGCAGTTTTTTGGCATCTAAATGTATGTGGGCTAATTAAGAAACATTCCAACAAAACACAAACCAAGATAAAATGTTTCTAACAAAGACATTTTGTTGGAGCAGCTATTTTTTTCTGTATCCAATTTGACCTGGAAATATAGAAGCATTATTGCTTACAGAAGCATTAATGCTTACTGAATTAAAATAGGAAGGAAAAGTAAGTCATTTGTTCAGTTTATACCCATTATTGTTATTTTTTAAATAAAGGTCTTTGGGTTATTTCACTGCTAAAGGAATCGGGAGTGTTCTGCACAACTCTGAAGGTTAGCTAAGGGGTTTCTTAAATCCTCAATCTCGTCCTATAATTGACAAGAGGGAGGACTTTTTTTTATTATTAATCTGGTGGACATCAAAGCTGTCTGCTCCAACACATTCAGTCAATATCTAGATGAAAAGAGGAATGTCTTTCACATGATTAGCTTCTCTAGCTAGCCTGTAGGTGGGTGTGTTTAACAGAAGGAAGCAGTAGGAATGAGCCTGTCAGGCTGCCTTTACAACTAATTAGCTCAGCATACAACAAAGATAAGCGATCCGGGGAGGAGGACCCCCTGAAGGTTCTTTCGATTCTGGGAAATGTCTGAGTGGCAGATGTTAAGAGATCCTTTAGAAGTCCAGTGCATCAATGTACTGCACACATTCAGCACAGGACTGGAATAATTCAGGCATGAGGACACTTTTTGGGTGCACTCTGGAAAAGCAGAACCAAAATGGACAGAACCTTGGAATCTCTGCAACATATAATTGCCCAAGCACTGCCTCATAGAGACCCTGCCCTCGTATTTAAAGACTGTAAGTATCAAAGAGAATTTCTTGACTTCTCAAACAACAGCACTGCACAAGTTGCTAAGTTTGTTACAGGTAAGACACCGAGGAGTAGTACTGTGGCACATCGTTAGCTTAACTCTGCCTCTTCTATTTTCTGCATTTTTTTCTGTTTGACTTAAGTTTATATGCTAAAGAGCTAATGGATTTTTCAAGCTTTTTTAACTGATAATTTGATTAAATTAGAGCAAAGTCTTAGGACCAAACTGTTTTGGGATCTTTATTTTTTTGGCAATAACAGAAAATGTAGTTCTACACCAGAAATGTTCTTCCTCAGCTAATTAGTTCGTCATGTTCAATCAGGTATTTATTCTATATGGTTAATGTTTCCTGTGAAACTTTCCAAATGCTGAATATTAAAACCTGAGCACTTCTGTTTAGATAGAGGCAAAAGCAGCACAGCAGTTATTTAAACATAACTTGATCTGCATATAAACAGGATGTGACTTTCCTCCCTAAGACTTTTGAACAAAATAAACTCCCCTTTTATCTGATAGCTAAATCATTTTTGACAGCCTTACTAGTTTTCTTTTGAATCATGGTACATAACTGTTATATAAAAGCTCTGTAATTTTAGAAATGATATTAAACTGCTTCTGTAATTTTGTTTCTTAAACTGATATGATTAACTGCTACATAATTAACAGGCCCTATTCACCTTTTAAAAAAGCTGGAGTTGAATTTGTTTCTGAAACAGTGAAAAGGCTTATTCCTTCATTATGGAATGACCATCACAGGGTCTTGGAGTGAATAAGGGTATCCAAATTTTTCACATACAGTTTCTTATTGAGGTTTCATGTGCCAGTGCCTGAAGAAAAAAAGAGTTGAGAAGCAACATATCAATTGGCAAAATCAGTGAAACCATACTTAAATCCTTTTATTTTTCAGCTTCTGCCCTTGTAAATGGGATCAATTAGTTTCTGTGTCCCTAAAGACAGGTTTCAGTTTATACTTTTTACTTTCTGATTGTTAAATTATGGTGCTTGCCAGGTGTAATTTTAGACTAAATTGCTCAGTTCTGTGATGTTCAAAGATAGGGCAGACATAGCTTTGGGCTCTGGGAACATTTTTCTTCACATATAAATCTAATTGTAGTCTACTTTGCACCCTCAGGCGCAGTGTGGAAGGCATTTATTTAATCCCTGCTTCATTCATTTGTCAACAGCTACATTAGAGTTAATAAAATCAATCTTAGGCTATCAACTGTTTCTTTCAAACCTGGTATGGGAGAAATTACTTTAAGTACACTGCTGTTATAGGAATTGAAGGAAATGCATATATTCATTATCTTAAACCCTCCTAATGGCCAGATTCCAATACTCTGACACTCACTGAAAAATATCTGACTGCATAAATATTCCCAGTGATATCAATAGGAGCACTAATGTAGTAAGCTGCTATGCAAAATAATGAAGGTATTGGAATCTGGCCTTAAAATAAGAGTTAGACATCTGTTTCTCAGGCCACCCAGCAGGACAACTTTGTGCTGCTGTGATACAAATGTGTAGTGCTGCCGTCCAGGGACCATGCCCTAAAAGCTTGCAAGAGTAGACACATTACAGCACCAAAGAATCTGATTTCAATGAGGGAAAAAGCATACTTCTTTCTGAGTATCCATTGGTAACCAGTTCCTGCAGATCAACTGACATGGTTTTGATTGAAAGTGCATGTCCCAGCAGCCCAGGCAACAATACAGTGACCACCCACAGACCTAGGGAGTAGGAGAGATGGTTAAATAAAACAGCAAAAGCAGATGCCCAAATTAAAGAGGGTTTAGAATGTCATTTTCATTGAGACCAGCAGAAAAGAAAAAACTATCCTAAAGAACTCTTTATGCAGAAGTTGTCCATCTTGAACATACTTCTGCTGTAAACCAAGTACTACCAACCCCCCCTAAAACCAGAAGGTAATGCAGATCTTTATTCTAGGTCTGGATGACTGCTTAAGCCTACCTCCAATGAAGCCAGTGGGAAATTAGGACCAAAATAACTTCTCCTGACAGGTTACCAACTCTTAAACTGGGAACAGCATGCAGTCTTTAAGATTTAAATTTGATGCGAGTGAAAACATCTCTATTCCTTAACGCGTGATACTTTAATATCAGCTGCAAAAGACGGTTTGAATTCATCAGGCTTGCTTTTTTTAAAAAAAAACAAAAAAACAGAAAAAAAAAAATGCTGAATGTAACCAGAATATTATACTTGAGGCAAGTAGCACTACCTAGTAGTAAGATTGCCTGACACTTCCTCTTAGAAGATGCGCTTTTCAGTTACAGCCTTGTCAAACTAGCCCTGTGTTATGATTCTGTCTATAGAAAAAGACAGTAGCCTTTTGGGAGCCAATGGGATAGGTTGGGCAAGGAGACTGAGATGGAAGATAAGGAGGGAAATGAGGGCTGGGTCTCAGAAACAAAAGATGGGAGAGAACATGGGATCTTAGAAGCAATGGGATGAAGGGAAGGAGCTGAAAGCAGAAGAGTTGGGATCAAATGAATAACTGGAACTAGCTGGGCAAAGAAATGGCAGCAAGGAAT